CCCCCCTTTTTTTTGCAAAAAAATAAGACGTGCAGAGGGTCTGGGAGGCCTGCAGAGTGCAAACACTTTTTAAAAAAAATTACCTCTTCAAAATCAAGGTGCGTCTTATAGTCCGAAAAATACGGTAAGTCAACTTTTTGCAATGTATGGGGGAAAAACAAATTAAGTAATCAGTGTGAGATGAAAATCCATCCTCTTCTTAAAAACTTTCAGAGGTAGGGAACCCATAGCTTCTGTAAGAAGACTATTCCATTGTTGTACAGGAAGGTTTTCTTTTATGTTTAAATGAAGTCTAGGTATCTGTAATATTAGAATGTAGAATAACAGGATTGGAAGGGACTTGGAGGCCTTGTCCAACACCTTGCTTGAGCAGGAGACCCTCTGGACAAATGATTGTCTAATCTCTTTTTCTTGAAAACCTCCACCGATGGAGCACACACAACCTCTGGAGGCAAGCCATTCTATCGATTAATTAATTGTTCTCACAGTCAGGAAGTTTCTCCCTGGTTCTAGATGGGATCTCTCTTTGATGATCTTCCACCTGTTACTTCTTATCTTGCCCTCAGGTGCTTTGGAGAATAGATTGACCCTCTCTTCTCTGTGACAACCCTTCAAGTATCGGAAGACTGCTATCATGTCACTCTAGTCCCGTGATGGAGAACCTATGGCATGCATGCCAAAAGTGGCACACCAAGCCATGTCACCTGGCATGCGCAGCATCACCTGTTCCTCTTCCGGGTTTCTGGCATGCATGCACACGCGACAATCAGCTGACCTTTGTGCATGCAGCAGTGTCAGAAACTGGAAGAACAGGTCTTCTGTTTTCCAGCGTGAGCATGGCTGATCGTTGCATGCGCATGCACGGCAGTAACCAGAAGTACATTTTCCAGTGCACGCATGCCCCCTTGGGCAACTTCTCTTCTTGGTTGTGGCCCAGATTAGCGTGCATGAAGTGCTTCCTTTTCGGCACTCAGTGCCATGCACACGCTCTCCCTTGTAGTTGTAGTTCCCCAGGCATCATGGACATTCGCCATCACTGCTCTAGTCCTTCTCTTTGCTAGACTAGACGTATCTAGTTCCCACAACTGTTCGTTCTACGGGTTAGCCTCCACACACCCAATCTTCTTTGTTGCTCTTTTCTGCATTCTTTCTAGAGCCTCAAAATCTTTTTTTCAATCATGGTGACCCAAACTGGACACAATATTCCAAACGTGGTTTTACTAGTTCAGTATAAAGTGATACTATCCCACTGCTGATGCATTGGCTTTTTTGCCACTGCTGGCTCACACTTAAGTTGTGCACCAGAACACCTCACAATTATTGCTGTTGTGCAGGTATCACTTGTTTTATAGCCATGCATTTGGTTTTCCTTGTCTAAATGTAAAACCTTGCTTTTCTCACCACCTTCTTGTTGTTGTACCATATCTCTCATCGTTGGCGATCATGTTGGCAATCCTATTTTTGTCAACAGCNTGGGGATTTTGCAGTAACCTTCCCCTGCCACGCCCACCAAGCCACGCCCACAGAATGGGTAGTAAAAGAATTTGAATCCTACCACTGGTCTAGTCCCACCTTAGGCATGAAAAACCTGATGAGTGAACTTGGTCCAGTCACTCTCTCTCAATCCAACTCACTTCATGAGGTGCTTGTTGTGGGGAAATTAGGAGGAGGAAGAAGTATCGATACGTTATCCGATTTGAGTTGTATATGACCCCAAAAAAAAAGGGCAGGATAACAATTACAAAAATTAGAGGCATCTATTTTTTTAAATGTTCTCTCACTGAAACATCAATTAATTTGCGATGTGTACCGTGTTTCCCCGATATAAGCACTTGGTCTTATTTTCGGGGAGGTCTTATTATTTTTGAGGTGCAGGAGGTGGTGAGCGTGATCACCTCATGGCTGTTGCTGTGTTGCAATATTTTCAGGGAGGGCTTATTTTAGTGCATGCGCTCAAATGCCTGATTGGGCTTATTATCTGGGGAGGTCTTATTTTGGGGGAAACAGGGTACATGTTTAACAAGTGATGTGACAGATTTTTTCTTTCCTACAGCTCCCTTCACTATCATTACTTTCCCTTTTTTGTTTGCGGTGATGTTTGGCGATTGTGGTCATGGTACAGTTATGCTGGCCTTTGCGCTGTGGATGATCAGCAATGAAAAGTACTTTTTAGCTCAGAAAAATGACAGTGAGGTAGGTGACTTAAGATGGTATCTCACGGCTCACAGCAAGCAGCACTCAAAGTGTCTTTTTATTATTTATTACCGGTATATTCTACTCTGCCCAATCTCTGAAATTTGTGGGATAGATTACAAAGTTATTTAAAGCATCAAGTTTCTAAAAATGTATTTAAAAATATTACAGAAAAAAATAGTTAAGCAATGAGAGGAAGACGATCAACCAGTTATCGACGGTTATCAACTAGTTGATTTCAAAGGAAAGGTATTATTTATTAAATTTATGGGCCACACATCTCACTACCCAAAGTGACTTAAAATATGGGCAATATAAAGCTGAGGACAATCCTCTAGAAATGCTGAGAAATATCTTTACACAGAACTGAAAAGATGTAAAACGGCCAGTCATACTTCCTGGAGAGGAATTTCATAATCAGAGTCCCATATCTAAGCAGGATTTCTTCTTGGTCACCCATCTTACTTCTCGTGGTGAGAAGAAGGGTCTCTGAAGGTGACTCAGGGGTGGTCTGCTACCAGTTCGCATGGGTTACCTGTAGCTAATGTTATGGCCGGTTCGGAGAACCTTCAACTCCTCTGGCTGGCCCTGCCCACCCCTCCCCTCTCCTCCCAAGAGTCTCCATTTTGGATGCAAGGTAAGTGTAGGGTCTACCTGGAGACTCAGGGAGGGTGGAAAATGGGCCTCCTGGAAGTTCCGGAAAGCTGGAAATGCTCATTTCTGTCCTCCAGAAGGCCTCTGGAGCTCAAGGGAGGAAGTTTTTGCCCTCCCAGAGATTCGAGCAAAGTCTCTGGAGCCTGGTGCAGGAGGCCGACTAAGCCATGGCCACCATGGCCACGCCCACCCAGCAACCAGAGAACCCTTTGCTGAAATGTTTGAAGCCCATCCCTGAGGTGACTCATTTCTTTCCAAAGCAGTAAACAATAGGTAAACAATAGGTGAAGAATTGTCTCTTCAATCTTGTGCCTTCTCAGCTAGCAGGATCAGTATTGGGAATTGATGTCCCACATTTCTAGGAGACACCAAACGGAGAAGAGTGCCGTTAATGAGGTTGCAGTAAACTTTCTTCTTGATCATCCCTTGATTATATATAATATTCTTGTGCAGATTTGGAATATCTTTTTCGGTGGACGCTACTTGATCCTACTCATGAGTATCTTCTCCATTTACACTGGCTTTATTTACAACGACTGCTTCTCCAAATCGTTCAACATATTTGGATCTTCCTGGAGTGTCCGCCCCATGTACAACAATGGTGGATGGACGTAAGTGGTGCAAACAATGCTTGATCATTGCAGAACGTAGCAGTGGTATGCTCAGTGCGCTCTTTAGTTCCACAATCTCTCTCTGAATTTACCCCTAATGATCTCTAGCGCAACATTTCATATTTCATAAAAGGGTTTAATCAGTGGCTGACTATGATTAAAAGCAAACAGGAAACAGTAATTACTAGAAACTTCCCTTAGTTTGATTCAGAAAAGGCATGCCTATAAAATATTTTTTTTCTGAGCCAATTCTAAGCTTTTGATTCTGTCAAGCTCATAATAGAAGCCAAGTAGATTTCTCAAATTATTCATAACCTCTAACCCTGAAATGCTTTTCTATGGATGTGGTGGTAGGAATTATAGGTCCCCAAGAGATCTCACCATGCTAATATTTAGGCATCTGAAAATTACTTGCATGCTTAATATAATCTCCAGGACATCTGGTGTCCATATTCAGATGCAATGGAGATTTCTTTTACAGGATCTCTAGAATATTCACTTTTAACCACCAAGGTGACAAAAACATATAAATTGAGGCCTACCATGTTGTATCTTCTGCACCTGACTACATCGAGAAACATACTACACCAGGGGTGTCAAACTCAAGGCCCAGGGGTTGGATCTGGCATGCGGGGTGCTTAGATCTGGCCCACCCTAACCCTAGAAACAGCGAAGGACCAGCCCATGGTGCCTCTGCCACTGAAAACGGAGCTCGGGGGGGGAGGGCGGGCTGCAGGCTGTTTGCAGAGGGTTGCAGGAGGCCGTCCTAGCTGAAAACCTAGCTCGGAAGCCCTTTTTCACTGGCAAAGTGCTCGGGCCACCACAGGTGCCCCCAACAGTGATGTGGAGCTGACCATGCCCAGCCTCGCCACGCCCCCCAACCTCCCCCCCCCCAAGATCAAACACAACCCTGATGCGTCCCTCAATGAAATCGTGTTTGACATCCGTCTACTACATCTTTTCTTATAATGAGTTATAGAGAAGATTTCTTAAAGTTGTCATACTCTAAACTTCATTAACCTCACTTAGGGAATGGCATCAACACAGAACAAAGTAGGATAGTTTATACAGTAATAGATAATATTGAAGATGTGAAGAATGACTTTGGGCCCATTGAAGAAAGAGTAAACATGGGATACGAAAGAATGTACACAAATTATATAAGCTGTTTAGTACAAAAAGTCACATGTAGCCTGAGCTGTCTGCATAGAAACTGCACAGCCAATGTTTTGGGGTTCTGTGTGTTGATATTATTTTTCTTATGTTCGTCATTGTGAGAAAAGGTATCTCACATCTCAGTGATAATCTAATAATTTAACATTTTTCTGTTCATCCATAGGGACGATATTGTTAATGAGAGTGGTGTTCTACAGTTAGATCCAAAAACAAAAGGTGTATATTCTGGAAACCCTTATCCTTTTGGAATTGATCCGGTAATTAGATTATTTGTCAATTAATAGGAAGAGAGAGATGAGGGGTGAATGGGTGGGACTTCAATTTCGAAGGAAGAAGTCAGTAAAGACAGGGCTCCTTCAAGAGGATTTTAAGAGCCAAGACTGTCTTCACTGTTTTTTTTTACTACAGATGTGCAAACAATTAAATTGCTACAGAAAAAGTAGGAAAACGCTTTGTGTATTGGCATCTTTTTTGAGAAAATGAACAAAAAAAGTCTAACATTTTTTAACCTCATGTCATGCGGCTTTCTTCCAAAAATCAATTTAAATGCCCCATTAAAGGTATCTGAAAAAAAGCATGCAAAAAATTAAATAAATCTAAATTAAGCTGCAAGGTCAGGAGGCTTAGCCCTTACAATGCTGGAAATATTCAGTGTTTGTCTTCCAGCCTCCATAAATAGCATTTCTGACATTGGTACCTCTGATTATGGGAAAAAACAAAAGGCTATAAGACGGTGATTGTTAATGTAATGTCCCCCAAGATCCTCTCAGGGGTATGTTAAATCAAAATTATTTACCAGGCTATGCTGAAAAATAATACAATATTAAAGCCCCATCAAACCATCATTAGTGGTAGTAGCAATGAATGCTTCAATTTTAATTTTTGATATGGTAGATATTGATAGATATAACCCATACAACCAAACCACTTTTGGGGTTAGGGTTAGGATTAACCCTAACCCTCCATAATCTTTAAAAGTGGGATAGGATAGAGAGAGGGGAGAGGAAGGGAGAGAGAGGGAGGGAGGGAGAGAGAGAGAGAGAAAGAGAAAGAGAGAGAAAGTGAGTCATGAGATATCAGTGCAGATGGCCTGCAGATGGCAGCATTCATGGCTTATCATCTTCCAAACTGATTCCAGTATCCATCATAGAATGATAGAGTAGACCTGGCTATGTCTCCTCTTATTATAGAAATAGCCCTGACTACAACACAGATTATCTTTCAGCTGGTTCATTCTTAAAGGTAAAGGTTCCTCTCGCACATATGTGCTAGTTGTTCCTGACTCTAGGGAGCAGTGCTCATCTCCATTTCAAAGCTGAAGAGCCAGCACTGTGGTGAACTTGGGTTGAGATGCATTTTTATTTAAGTAGAATTGATTGGCTTAAAGGTATAAATGAGAAAATCATTAGCCTCTGAAAATGATATTCTCATAGACTTACTCCTAACTTGCTGCTTTTCTCCATGGAGAATATACACAGTTTCATGTTTGTAGCCTACAGAATTCCTGAAAAAGCTGCATTGTTTTTATTGGGGGGGGGATTTTTGTTCAAATAGAAGCAGATGTATGTTGTTATAATAATACAAAAATCTTTAGTGTGTCCTTTTTAAATAAACTTGTAACAATTGAAGAGGGACACGGTGGCTCAGTGGCTAAGATACTGAGCTTGTTGGTCAGAAAGGTCGGCAGTTTGGCAGTTCGAATCCCTAGTGCTGCGTAACGGAGTAAGCTCCCACTTGTCCCAGCTTCTGCCAACCTAGCAGTTTGAAAGCATGTAAACATGCAAGTAGAAAAATGGGGACCACCTTTGGTGGGAAGGTAACAGCATTCTGTGTACCTTCGGCGTTTAGTCATGCCAGCCAGATGACCACAGAGACGTCTTTGGATAGCGCTGGCTCTTCGGCTTAGAAATGGAGATGAGCACCACCACCTAGAGTCGGGAATGACTGGCACATATGTGCGAGGGGAACTTTTACCTCTACCTATAACAATCGAACTATGCAGGTTAATTAGGTTCCAATTGTTCACCCTGATCTTCAGTTCCCTTTCTCCCTGTGTTTCTCCAATGGTAACAAGGAAGCAACTATTTTAGTTTATGATTTCACTTGTCTTTTATTCTTTGCTTTCCTTATCTATTTCTTTCAGATCTGGAATATTGCCATCAATAAACTAACTTTCTTGAACTCGTACAAAATGAAAATGTCTATCATCATGGGAATC